CCGAGAAGAATAATTATTTCCATCACAACAATAATATAGATAATAGATCATAACTCATTGTCGTCGTCATAGGTCCATGAAAAGAGATTGTATAGAGACGCTGTAAATACAATATTATATTATATTATGTCCAACGATTGTTTTACGCACATAGTTTTAAATTCGAAATCAATCGAAAATGCTCTAACCTCTAACGGCCTTACATTAAAGCCCAGCAAAATTGGTTTTCGATTCCAATCCACGATCAACTATAATATAATACTATTATAATAAGAGACGATCGTTCTCGACAAAAATATTATATCTAAAACGACGAAACACTTATATACGCACAATCCAGGATAAAGGGAGAGGGTTCCAGGGCTCGTTGATCTGAATAGCCCATTTATTTCTACAAGATTTTTTTAATATTATAATTCATGGGTAAACAAAAGAAATTTCAAAAAATAAAATAAAATACGTTCATATTACGAACTATAGGTACAGTATAACTAGTAACTACGATACTTAAGTTTGATATAAATCCACGATAAATTGATATTTTATGATTATGACAAAATATATATGATATGCGATATCATGGTTAAGTTTTTAAATTATATAGTTGTTGACAATTCGTATTCTGAAACTATATAGTCCGTATAGGTATAGTGCAAATATAGAATTAATTTCAATAAATTGATAATGCTAAGAATTTGAGATGTTCAATTTATTGTTAATTGATATTAGGTATTTTTGACCTATATAACGATCTATAACAATATTCTATGTCACAGTGTCAACCGCGTTAAAAATATTATGTGTTGTAGCGGATGTGGTTGTGGCTACTTTATAGTTTATTTGTTGGAATTATTCGTAATTGCGTAAGTACAATATAATAAGCGGTACCATGTAGAATGATTAGGTAGTAAAGATTAATGAATATTAATTATTAATTGTTATAATATTAAATTTTTATTCGATGAGTATTGTTTGGTCTGTCGGTGGTTGCTTTCATTCTATGTGTTAATAGTCTCACGCAGTCACGCCTCCCCATAACAAGTCTGAAGGAGTGCTCCCACACAGCAGTTGAGAAATATTGCTATAAATATACCTTGGTTACACATATATATTTTCTGGATCCTTTCAACAAATTATCAGCACACCCATCCCACCCCCCCCCCCCCCCCCCCCCCCCCCCCCCCATTACCTTAATATTATAATGTGTTGCATCCGCGACAGGGATCGGCGCCACTGATGCGTATAATGCGTATACAATATACATTGTCTCTAAAGTCCGGTAATCACCATTAGTATTTTCGTGAAAAATCTCTCTAATTCAATTCCAACAACGGCATAACTTCACGATTTGAAAAAATTTCCTACAATCGGGTGAAAAAATATTGACCAATAAATAACAATATACTGCATATTTCTAATAATAGAAATATATAAGTTTTTGATTTTTGGGGAAAAAATAAACCATAATATTATGGATATGACGTTGCCGAAAATCTCGATTGTGCGATTTGGATTTAATAATCCATAAATATAAATCTATCTAAACTTATTTGTATAGAGCTCCTTTAAAATGGACTTATTTCATGTTTTCCGTAACAGGTTCTATATATACCAACCATCAGATTTGCTCACAGCCCACAGGCACGACTATTATTATATTTTATTAAATAATTCTCACGAAAATCAAAAACTAGATCCTCGTCGGTCAGCTCTCTCACATATCGTAATGAAGTTTTTTCAACAATTGAAACACACAACGCGGTTCTCTTGTATAGATTGCAGTTGAATAACCCTCGTTTTATTAATATTTGCCACGGAGACACTTAGGGTGGGAAACTTGCACTATAAATACATAATAATATTATAATATCACTCTGAATGCTGCGATTGTTTTCGTGGTATCCAGCGCGTTCAACAGTCGTCGGTTACATTATTATTTATTACTGGTATTATTATTTTTATTACGTCAGAGAGGAGAATTGAAAGTTAAAAAACCAATCGCACAATAATATGATATTATAATTATATAGCTACATAGACGACGACGAGAGAATTACAATATGTACATAAAATATAATCGACGCCCACGTAGTTTTATTACGATAAATTGACTATATTAATGCGTACGCCGATCGCCGATCAATGACGACGATTGTAACGAGTTGAATAGAATTCGTATACGACGGACGGAAACGCGCCGACGACATTTTCTATATTATTATAATAAATGTTATTACAATAATATATTTGGCAGCCACGGGCTCCATCGTGTAGTCGTCGTCGGCGGCCGATTTTCGGATTGGGCAGAGGATATAATATAATATCATGGCGAGAAACGGCTAAGACATTGAGATGGTCTGGGGGCGGGGGAGAAGGGATTAGCCCACCAAAATCCTTCTTAAGGCCCAACGTCAACACAAAATCAAAATATTGTCAATATCTAAATTATAATGTTAAGAGTACGGGTACATACAAGCTACAGTCACCCGACTAATCTATATCTTTCTATAGTTTTCCGTTTTTCTTCGGTTAAAGTATTGAATACCTAATATAAATAACACAGTTACAATGATTAATTTTGCGATTTCCTACTTCTCAATTCTAGGCATATTTTTGATGTAAGCACAAAAAACTGGAAACAGATTCGAGTGATTAACAAATGCTCCGATTAATTCCGACGTAAATCCGATGTCGTTAAGATTTGCGTTCGTCTTTTTTTGAAAATAATATGTATATTATTTCATAAGACGAATTGTTAGTGTAAAGCCTCCCCTAATTACAGCACTGGGTACAATTAAATAAAATTATTTTTATTTTCCATCGAACAATTATCACGTCATACGAGGTTATGAGATATTTCATCAGTTCAGCAAAACATGATATGACCTTTTAAAATAATAAAATAAACCATGATTTCCAATATAAAACAGATACCTATCCTTGCATAGAACAAACATCAACATTTTTACACGTTTGATTGTTTGACCTTTTAAAACCTAGTTAATAAATATTTTTTTATAACGTTTTAATTAATTATACAGGACTGTTGACTGTTGTTGTTCTGAAAACATGGTCCATTATCCTTTCTTGATCCACTACACTGTTTTGGATTTTAATATGTTTATTTTACGATTGCAGGTTTCGAAAAGCTTCTCTCTTAAGAACTATTTTATTACTGGTATAGTGATATACTGGTATTTATTTAATCATTTTAATGGTTTGAAAACGCGAAGAAAAATAAATCGTCTATACTCTATTATCCGTATTAAAACCTGAAAAATTCCTCGAGTCATTGTGTAATCGCATACTTACCAAAAACTCATCCTTCGTACATTTTCATTTGTATACCTAATTTTTCAAAACGTTATAAAACGAAAAACAAATAAAAAACCAGTAAAACGATAACAAAGAAATACCAAAAACCAAAAACTATAGAGGATAAACAAATTAGGTAAGTACATATACATTTTGTATAATACTATTATCAATTTTTTTTTAAATTAAACCTACATTTTCTTAATCCGTGTTGGAAATTTTAAAAAATTAAAAAATTTTTTTTACAATTTTATGACTCTGTTATCGAGAACCGTAATCGTATTAAATAATTGTTGATAATTATAATGTAAGGCTGTTTATAATCTTAATTATAATTGTTATACAGATTATATAATAAGCGTTATAATTTAATTTGTAGTATATTTATGTTCTTAATAAAATATCTGCATACCTGCTACTATATTTATTATTTTATTACTATCACAAGACACAAATGAGAAACAAAAGGTCGTTTACGGTAAAAAGAGTAGTTTATCTCTCCTAAAAATTAAGTTCTATAAACATAAGGCGAGGTTTTAAGGCAAATTCCAAACTCGAGCCAAAATAATAATACAAAATACATACCGTTCTCGTTTTATCATTAGCTTTTTCTTCTGTACACTGCACTAGTCGTTGATGTGAGGCGAGGGATAGCACAACTAACCACCTGTAGTAGTACCATTTGGTTAAGTTATAAAAAAAACAGTCGTTGTGTTATCGACGTTACCTGCACCAAAGTCATAGTTGACCTTTTTATCGTTTAAGAAGATCGCTAAAACCGAGTGGGCAAATTCGGGTCTTATCCACCTGGTTTGTGCAATGCTCTTGCAGATAGGAGGCGGTGGTCCAAGAACGTATCGACATATATACCATATAATATATTATATTGTCTTTGCTCACGACTGAAAAAAGTTCATTTTATCCATTCACAGAGACACGCTGAAAGTGTGGACATGTGGGATCAAATCGCGTTAAGTAACCATTCGATCAGACATGGGTGATTGGTAGGGGAAAATTAAATCAACACTAAAAATTTTAAATTTAAATATTATTATATTTTTTTTTAAACTAAAATAAGTATTTCAATTCTTACTATATATGTATATATTTTTTTTACATAAATATATAATATAAAATATTATATTTTTTACATATATAATAAATAATAATATAATATAATTATGTCAATTCTAAAACTTAAGACAAATAGGTTCTACGTTTAAAGTATCGTCTAATGTCTATCTAAATCTAATGAAAAAAAAAACTGTCGATTAAAAAAAAAAACAACACGGTCCTATATATATTAACTGTATATACAATTTTTTTTATAAAATATAAATTTTTTATTAAAACGACCGATTATATATTAGATATAATATAATATATATATATATATGTATATAAAATAAAAAAAAAATTGTTATTCGATCTAAATTGAAAAAAATAACATTTCTCTTACAACACATCATATTATATAATAATAATAATAATAATATATATTATACAAAATGAATTCATTCACACCTATGAAAAATATCGATTTTTCTATCCATCCTCTTGAGATCAGACAAATAATACATCATAGGTCGAACTCAGCAGAGAAAATATTTTAACAATTGAGAACAAAAACCGCCCAACTAGCCGGAGCGGAACAATTTTTTAAGCTATTATTTTTCATTTTTTTCTTTTTTTTTTTTACTAACAAGAAAAACAATTAGTCTATACAAGATATTTTCACAACAAAGAAGAGAAAATTTTTGTTCAAAATAACCTTGTGTAAAAAAATAGTTAAAACAATGAGATCGTTTCAGTCCCATATTGGAAAAAAAATTCTGTTGAGAAATTATATTTTCGTTTTTAATATTATCGTTTTGTGATGCACATAAACTTGAAATAAATTCTTGAAGAGCTCGGATTAAACATTATATAATTATATAAAATAAGGTGATGTATGTATGCTGAGAACAATCTATACCGATATACCCTCCCCCTACAGATCATCCCCGTCCGCAAGACGAGTCACATAATAAATAATATCGCCTATAACATACTCGTGTATAAGATCCTACAGTTATACATCACCTTTGGCTAAATTTTGATTCTCGAATTGGATTTTGACAGATATATTTCTTTGGACATGTAAAATTAGATTTAAAGAGACCACTGAATCTTTGGATTTTTATCATTAAAATTGAGATCTTCTCGAAAATTGAAATACATTAAATCATGGAAAAAGATCGTCATATAAAAAAAAAAAAACGAATAAAAAAAAATTGTCTGACGAAAAAATTTTTCATTTTTTCCTTCACTTTGGTGATGTTTTTTCTTACCACTCTTTTTATGATTTTTTCAACAAGCTAAAATTAAAAAGTTAAATGTATAATTGCACGTTAACATTAAAATCTAGAGCTAATACTAAACGTACAGACATTAAGCTATAATATGCTTAACATAATATTATATTATGATGGTTAATAGATAAGAATTTTCATTATTTGTAATATTATAACGTAGACAAATAAAACAACAAAATTAGTCTGCGCTTAGGCGGTGGATAAAAACCGAACAATATTCGTGAAGGAGATCAAAAAACAAAACAGTATAAATATTAATTGTTTTAAAAAAAAAAAAAAATACATAATTTTTAAAATTTTTAAAATTTAAAAACATCTGTACAATAACGATGGGGGGGGAGGGGGGATTGATAAAAAAAAATTATACACATAAAATAATGTCATATAAGAACGTGCGTTATCAGGAAAATTCCTGGAGAAGATTATATATAATATAAATGATTATTATTATAGTTAAAACTATCTATCTATATTTGGGAGATCTCGAATTTTGCGTCGAAAATGTGAAAAACTTTTGGGCATCAAATTATATATTATTATTTTTTTAATTCTTATGTTATATTATATTATTTACTCAGCATATTGCCTTTTTTCCAATTTCGATTTAGATAGCCATCATCGTCGTCGTTGTCGTCGTCGTGGTGACCGATCGGCGACTCCGCTTGTTTGCCGATTCGGATTCGTCCAAGACTTTGTTGTTCGAGCGCAGTGTCCTGCCGGAAGCGCTCAACGGTCGTTTCTTGGTTTTGCTCATGAAATCTAAACAAACAAACAAAAAATAAAAATAAAGGTTAGTCAACATATTACAATAATATTACCGGTTCGATAAATTTAATAATAATAGGTACACCACAAACACGAACTAGGATCGCGTACGTCATGCGACGACGGCGGCGGTAGGGCCGCGAGTTTGTGTGGGGGGGGGGGAGGCGGGAAGAGGGGGTGATCTAATTTTACTCGAGCGTCGTAGCGGGCCGAGGGCAGCGACCTCAACGCTGGTCGTGAGGGGAACCGAGGAGAGGGACGAAAAAAATACAATATACAAAAAATAAAAAACAGATAACAACACTCGACCGTTAATGATAATAACGATAGTAGTATAATATTACTATTACCGAGCACAGCTCTCTGGACCACGCCCATTTGGCGCAGTGCACTAAAATACGTTTGTACGCGGGGCGACGGGAGGAGGGTATACACCTATATGATGATGATGATGATGATGATAGTAATAATATTATAGCAATAGCCATTTATTTAATATTTTTTTTTTTTTAATCATCAATTTACACATCGCGTCCGAGAGCCGTCGTTATAATACGCGTGTTCTTCTCCCCACCCGAAATACAACAACAACAATAATAATACGCACATACAGTGAGATATAATATGTATAATAATAATATAATATGTTTATGTGCGCGTTGGCGTGTGTGTGTGTGTGTTTGTGTATTTGTTCGAGTGTGTGGGACGAAAAAAACCGGTCTCCCGAACACGTGTGCACATATGCAACGCGAGCTTATTATTATTAATATTACTATGGGCAGATCCTTGTAGTGTGTGTGTATATGTATATAATATTATACAGTGTATATAGTGACACTCCTCTCTCGGGTCGAAATAAAAAAAAAATAATAATAATATTATGTCCTCGTACGCGCTCGTACGTCGTATACAATCGAACACAAACACAATATTAATAATAATGAATTTACATAACCTAAAAAAAAAAAATATGCGCGGTTCCAACGAAAAAAAAATTTCAAGGTCTTTCGACGCTGAAATCGTTTTCGCGCCATTTCACAATCGTACATCGGTACCTACCTACCTACCTACTACTACCTATACCGCGGGCTGCCGTCGTCGCCGTAATAATAATAATAATTATTATTTATTTCGCGCGCGCGGGTATACACACGTTCTGTCTGTGCTTTTTAAACGTACTTTTTATAATTCGTTTCTGTTGTAACAAAACAATCACGAGCCCCCACATCAACCCTTTGACGAGTAGAACAACGGGGATGGTAATCGAGGATTTTATCGACTGAAAACAACCGGTGGGCGTACTGATGGACAAGGGCGGAACATAAATATCGCTGATTTTCTACGGGTCGTTCGTAACGCGACACGAATTTTACGACGAGAAAGGGTTCACAGACGATAACAGTACCAATATTCATAATAACACACAATGATAAAAACGTCGGGCAAAAAAATAGCACAACTGGGTATTCCGAAAAAGGATATCAAAAGAAGTCTCTCCTCCCCGCAGAACATCATTCAGACGACGACTTTTATTACGTTTTTCCCACAGTGGCGTGGCACCCTTCGCCCGAGCGAGGGTTCACTGCACCCCTAACGCTCCGCGCAGGTGCCACCCATTGTGTTCTCGGATGGGGGAGCTCGAACTTCATACACACACACACACACACACACACACACACACACAAATGCCGGTTAAAAACGAATAATCCCGTATTTACGCCCACGGGAAAGGAGAAAGACAACGGTCGGTACGTTGCGTTACGCGGTAGAGAAAGTATCCGAACCAAAACCACCACCGTTGCGAAAAAATCGTCTCGACGCTACGGACCCCGACCTTGCTCCTCGTTCGGCAGAGGAGGAACGGATAACCCTACCAATTATATTATTATTTTTGTCATAATTTATGATTATTACCTGTGACTTTGGACTGTCGCTGCTGCTTGACGGCCGTTCGGCGGCAATCTTGTTGTTGCTGTGCTGTGGCAGTGGTCGTCGAATTTGCAGCGGCCGGCTCTTCACGACGCTTCGGTGTACAGACGCGTTCCCACGCGTAACGGTCGGCCGGGCTGTCGCGCAGCGGACGCTCGTTAACGAAATCAAAGTTCCACGACCGCGAATCAGCCGCGGTGGCCGCGCACAATTGTCTATCAAGCCACGCCCGCGTCTCCGCTGGGTCGGCCGGCGGCCCGAACAGCACGCGCCTCACGCTCAACACGGACGCCTTGCCTGTGATCGACGCCGATCCATTGTTGTTGTTGACGCTGGTGCTGTTGTTGTTATTGTTGACATTGCTCAGGGAATCGGTTTTCGCCATGAGCACTCTCCTGCCGTTGTTTACGGCTCCTCCTCCGTCGGTGTTCGTCCCCGTCACGCCATACGTAACGGTCATGGTGATCGATGGGTTTAAATTAAACAAATAAACACGAACGAACCGTAAAATGTATAACGTCGAACGACGGTTATAATGCCTCCTTCTCGTAGACAGTTCCGGCGTATCTTCTTCCTCCCTCTAGTCCGTCTCTGGTCGGGTCCGTAGCTTTCGCGCACTTTAATCCGTCACACTGCAGTCCTGCTGCGGTACAGACGGTGGCGAAGTTCGCGCGATTTGCGTTTTCGAAACGGGTCGATGTCGACGTACGGAGCGAACAGAGGACGCGAAACGAAAAAAAATTATTTTTTTCAAATAAACAAACGAACGATTATTAAAAAATCACACCGGGTAACGTTGATCGACAACGTCGTGAACGGCGATGATATCGAGTCGCACCTAAAGCGGCACGCACACACAGTCACAAAAACGTACAGATACAAAAAATGGACGACGAGCGCGTAGCGAAACGGCGAGAGTGTGGCGTGTACGGCAAACGGCGAGAGAATGATTTTGTGTCCGGTGGGTAAGTCGGGTAAGAGCGTCACTGCCGCCGAGGTCACGTATACTATACGGCGTATGGCTGGTAGCGGGGAGGGGCGGCGGTCACGTCATCCACGGGCGATGGCGCGCATGCGCACCAGCACTCGGCCTATCCCCGCCGCGCTCTCGCTCAACGGCGGCGGCGGCGTAGTGCGCGAACGCACCGCCACCGGCGCAGCGCTCGCCGACCGTTGTTGTTGTTGTCGCTGTCGCCTTCGTTGCCCCGCGCGCTCACCGGTTCGTAGCGACGCCGATGACGGTACGGCCGTTGCGCGCGCGCTTTTTTTTTCCCGTCGGCCACGATATGACTACGCGATTGCGCGTGCGCGAGATCTTACTATAACCCGCGCGCCACCGCTGTTGTCGTCGTCGTCGTCGTAGGTACCTACGAAACACACGCTAGTAAAGTAGTAATAATAATAATAATAATAATAATAATAATAATCATCGCGAGAGGAGAGGAAAAAAATAAAAACGAAAGAAAAAGAAATAGTAATAATATTATAACCCTAGCCATGTGCTCGGCCGCCGCCGGCGGTGTGTAATGTGTATAATATTATTATTATTATTATTATTATTATTATTATGTACAGACGGCGAGTCCCCGACGCGTCGCGGCACGACGACGACGATAATATTATTATTGCCTCTGTCACACATACACACACACATATACAGTGTCTTTATAATAATATAATAGATATAATGTGAGTGTGTGTGTGTGTGTGTATACAATGAGATTCACAACGTCGTGCCGATTTCTTCGTTTCGTTTAAATCCCCTCGTCACGGATTACGCGCTCGGACATGGACCGGCCAGTGTCCGGTCGTCGTCGTGCCCACATGTCGTCTAAATATTTACCGAAAACCGTATAAATCTTATTATAATAAACCTGGTATATACATTATTATTATTATTATTGTGATGATAACTCAATACCACTGCGGTTGACGAAGGGGTTTCACGATCGCCGTAATATTATATTAAATCGGACACGACCTTTTTCATAATAATAATATAGTAGAGATAATATAAATCGCCGAAACCTTTTCCAGCTTTATTCTTCCCCGTCAAACGTCATGGGGCAAATAATATTTTCGCAAACCTGAACACATTGTTTGAGTACATCATGTACATAATATTATGTTGTATGGTGCATAACGTTGTTGACGTGCGACAACATAATAATACGTATACGGTGTATTTCTTTCTACAATCTCTGAATCTCGGATTTGCCGGTTACAACTATCAAACGTAATTTTCTCACGAGCAGCAATTACCTAGAGTTTTTTTTTTTATGTCCAATTCGTGAGCCCGACCGAGCGATCGTAGAGGTCCATCGTCGTGTACCCCACGTATAACCATCGGTTAAACCCTTTTCTCAACACGACTGATACATAAAATAATAAATATATAATAAAATGAGTGTATACTTTATGTATATATTATATATATATTATACTCAAGTACTCTTCTTATTTTCGTTTTAATTAATCGTATGATAATATATTAATATTTTATGTACAGTCACATATACAACGACTATATAAACATTCATTTCAAATTTCAAACAAACTTGTTCTGGTCACCTTGAAACATATTAAACAGATTATGACACAATTTAATTTAGATTGTTACCTACCTCAGAATACATTACGCGTGTATATATAATTAATTAGTAGAATATTTAACGTTTTGTTTCATTAGTATAATAATATTATCAATTATCATTATTCAATGCTACTAATGTAAGCTCTTCTCGTGAATCAAAACTAATGAGCAACTAAATCTTTATAGGTGCGTATACTTTTATAATTATACGAATATTTATCTATAATTTTGAAATGATTGAAAAACTTCAATCGTCGTTCACCGACAATAATGATGAAACAAATAGTAAAAAATTGTTTATTATTGCGTTAGACCCATAAAAACACTAATACAATTTAAGAATTGAAGAATTGAATATTTAAAAAAATTAATTCCAAATTAAAAAAATATTTTTTTTAAATTTTTATTTAAAAAATTTATTATCTAATTTAAATAATATTAGGAAATGCATACAACTACGATTCGGCTTATAGCTGCGTGTGAATTGATCGGTAAATGGGTTATTTCGATCTTGGGAACAACAAATAATATTGATAGTAACTGAAGTAATAAAAAAGTCGAATACTCATGTGCACGTGAACGTATTTAAAATAACCTCTAACACATAATAAATAAATATGTAGATTGATATGATGTACATTGTAATCTTATAGGTACCTATAATAGGTACTGGAATGCTATAATAAATTATACTAATGCTCATCTCTATATACTATATCGACAGTAATAATAATTTGTAATCGACAAATAGCACGACCACTAATTAAGATAATGATCCCATTCACATATTTCCTGTACAGTAGCGTGTGTACAACTAATATGCACGTAATATGTAAGTAGCCAAGTAGGTACACACAATATTGCAGTAATAATTATTATGATAACAATAGTGTGTTTGGCACCGAACATAATGTATTGCGATCGTTACGTATATGTATTAGGTATAGTCACTTTTTCTCGATAGCCAACTTAACCTGAAACGAATCAAAGGTTGAAGAAAGAATTAACAGAAAAAAAAATCAGTACCGCGTTATAATATTATAACAGACTACAGAGTTCCTATAGTATATATAGTACACCTATATACAATCAACAACATACGTGATGATATATTTAAAGTATATTAATTATATTTAATCCGAACGTATCCATCGTGTTCCTGTGATTAGTATATAATATTATATACGCGTGTGCTCGTGCGCGTGTAATTTATTCGGATGTTAATATATCCGCAGTGCACAGCTGTATAAGTAATAAGTCACACCGCCTTGGCGTTCAACCCCGCCGTCGCAGGAGAGGGTTGTTTGGGTGGTGTTGTAGTGTGTTGGCGAGTAACCGCTACCTAGGTATAAACATTTCGTATGCTGCAGTATATTAATATGTGTGGAAAACGAGAGAAAGAGACAGCGGTGACGGAGAGGAAGAGCTGCGCTGGTGCATTACCTTGTAAGGTTTCGTTCTGTGTGGATGGTTACCAAAAGGAAGTACCCAAGGATTTCCACGGATGACTGGCCGGCGTGCTGTCCGCCGTGTACGAGGAAGGCGAACGAAAAAACGTAATTACTCTCCTATATATACACCACGACACACACTATACGTAATCGCGGTGTTTAAATAAATCTGTTAGAAGTCACGGTTTGTGTATGTATATATGTACTATATATGTATGATTATATATATAATAATACTAAAATATAATATATATAATATTATTTATTATATTATAGAAGGGTGTTTTTGTCATCAGCGCAGAACATTATGGGAATAAACTTAGGTCTGCTGGAATTTCAATTAAACGGTCATTTTCGACGTAATCCGGCCATCGTCGCCGCACCGAAACCATCGTTAATGTCACGTACACTTTTTACCTCGAGTTAAATCCTTCTTCGAACGGATCTCCCCGAGAAATACAAAACACAAATTTAAAGTAACAAACAACAATGTGCAGCGTACCCCCTATTGCAACACTAAAATATAATATTATATAATATTGTTATATCTAAATATCTTATAATCTTATTAATATTATAGTACGACGCATTAGGTTGCTATAAATTATTACAACGACGAATAATATTCGAGACACCCAGTATTATACAGTGATTTATTGTACATATAGATAATTACACATAGGTATAGTTATACTATCTTTTGGGTCTTTTTTTTCGAAAATATTTATGCTATACAACATAATATATAATCGATACCATCGGAGATCGCAGCGCCGAACACGATATTTTTCACGATGGACTCGGAATAAGGTCTGTCTGCTGGGACAGTCTGGGTCGAAAATACCGACGAGTGGCGTCATTTTTCTCTGTTCGCGACATATTCCCCGGCCCATGTATTATGTTATGTGTGTGAGTGTGTGTATGTTTATTGGCTATAATCTTAAGTGGTATTTTTGTCCTGTAACGCACTCGTATACAATGCGTATAATATGGTGATTGATATAATTGATAAGTGATGAGTGATGGCGAGCAGTGTACATAATAATAATATACGAACAGTCGGACATGTATATATAGTACGACGTCAGTAGGTCGTTATAATTGTAATGGCTGATACACGTATAGCGTTTTTCACATGTAAAGTATTTACTTTTCGAATACATACATACATACATATATGTACACCAAATACATATAAATATATTACCTCTATATGCACGCACACATATATATATATTATATAGAAGGATCGCGTGGTCTGTTCAAGACGCGCGAAGTGTTTATATTTAAGTCGTGCAAGCAACATTATTATAGTTGTTACGGAAACAATAAAAATTCGATTTTTGAACTTTTTGAAAAACGCAGCTTTGTTTGTATTTTGTTATGTTATTGACATTGATTTCAAAAATTGAAGAAGAGAATTTAATGCATATTTTCTCAATTATTGTGGTGGAAAACTCTAAGCAAAATAACGTGCTGCTGTCGATGCAACATTATGTATGATATATATGTATTGTACATTGTATACTGTATAAGGCTATTAAATAGTATAATATATAATTATATACACAACGTTAATAGTGCACTATTATATAGGTTTACGATAACTTGACAGATGTATAAAAAGTATTTAGTAGAATATAGACGAAAAGAACATTTTTAATGTTTTTTTTTGTTGTTGTTAAAACGGTATGGATAGATTTACTTTTTAATATTAAATAAATGAAGGTTATAACTACCTACACAACATCACACATGTTATATACTATATAATTTTCCGCCTACTGACGGATTTTTTTTTAAGTTTTCCTAATTTGGTATATTCGTAAAAGGTTCATGGTTCTCATACGTTGTATACCATTTACGACCAGACACTGTGGGCGATTCGAGAAAACGTTGTATTCCGCGATGGAATTATACACGCACTTGACCGTGGAACAAAAATCTCG